CCCCCCCCCCCTCCTTTCGCCTTCTTTCATTCTGATTGCGTGTATTTTTCTACCGTGGCATCTACCTTGTCTCTAGACTTATTTCTCTCGTCTGTAGGCTCACTCACGTTGTTTTTTCTCAAATCGCCTCAGTCATAACTTCAAACTTAAGTTTTCCATTCAGTAGACAGGACCTTTCAACTAAGAGGAACTGGCTCACGACACAGGCCCGGACGATTCGATGGAGGGGTCGATGAACTTGAGTTCCATGGAAGAGGACGAGTTCCTCATGCCATCGATGATCGACATGGTACGTTCTTTTCTCGGTGAAGTTCTCATTTTAGCTTGAAGAGGCATAGGCTGGCTCTGGCCGCTTCAGACATGAAAGCTTCCCAGCATCGCTTCCGGGCCGAGAGCAATTTTAATTTCGCATGGGTGAGAAGTGTGTTAATTGAAGGCAACATGCTATTTTTCCGCCATAGAGGTCGTTAATGGAGCATAACGTTCGTGGCGTCAAGGGCTCCCGCAAAGGCCAGTACAATGGGTACGTTGACCACAATTGGCCATTGTATGACGAGTGGGAGATCTTTTCGCTGCTTACGCTGGCATGATATTAATTGAGGAGACGAGGATGAGAAGAAATGAGTGTGTCGTCGTGCATAATCCGCACCTAATCTACGATTGAGAGGGGAGACACAGAGCAGATAAAATCAAAGCGAGTAGACCTCTGGGGAGTAATGACGTCCACCGGCATACCGACAAGAAACAACTGCGAGCCGGCCAAGGTACCAGTGGTGGGTGGCCGATAATTATCTTCAAATGGNGGGGGGGGGGGGGGGGGGGGGGGGGGAGGAGGACCTTCGAAATTTCTCAGACTTCAACCAATATCTGCCCTTTTCAAAAAGGGAAAAATGCAAAATGCAATTTAAATTGAGAGCGAAGTGGTGGCATTCATCGGAACCTTCTTACGCTTTCATTCCTTTCATTTTTAATGAGCTAACGGGGACCGGGTGGCAGCCTGGGGGGCATGGGCGATTCCCACTTCATTACTTCGAACCTAAGCAAAAGGAACCGAGCGAGTAGTCCTGACGACCTATAAATTATGTAATTTCAGTCAAAATACACCTCCGTGCAGGACGTACTGCCTCCACCGAACAATGAAGACCTGCATGTGCTTATCATGGCGGTGTCTTACCTGTTGCTATTCCTTCTAGGTAGGTTCTCCTTGAGATTCCCCTAGGAAGTACCTCAGTCGCCCTTTTTATTATAGGCACATGTGGGAACGTGGCCGTTCTGACGACTATCTACCATGTTGTACGTTCAAGTCGTGCCACACTCGACAACACCCTCATCTATGTGATCGTGCTGTCCTGCGTTGACTTTGGCGTGTGCCTCAGTCTTCCGTTCACGGTCATCGATCAGGTAAGAGCCCTTAGGTTCACTTTTGTTATTGACCCATTCATTGGCTGTTTAGATTCTTGGCTTTTGGATGTTTGGCACAGTGCCATGCAAGCTTCATGCGGTTTTCGAGAATTTTGGCAAAATCCTTTCGGCATTGATTCTGACCGCCATGTCCTTTGATCGTTATGCAGGAGTTTGTCATCCACAGAAGAAATTCCTTCGATCCAGAAAACTGGCCATTACCATTCTGATCGGTTTGTGTTTTTCCTATCCAAGAGGTTTTTTCGGGTAGTTTTGTCAGCAGCAGCCGGGAGGTGGGCTATGTTCTGAAGCCTATCAGCATTTCATGACCGACTATTCTCTAATTTTAGTATACTTCAAGTGGTTACTTTTTTAATTACAAAGAGAGTATTCTAAGAGCTGTGAAACAAGAGGGATGAAGCTGATGTGTCAGAATTAGTGATTAGTGGACCTTTCCACAGATGAAGGTGCCTCCGTAGAAGAAAAAACTCTCTCAGACTCTCATTAGTAACTGTTCTTGACCGCCAAAAACAAGAGTATCTCGCTTGGCTTCCCTAATTTCGGACCAAGTTTATTTTAGTGGATAACATTAATTTCCGTCAGTGTATGCCCCATCAATCAACTGTCGCCAAGGATACGTTTGAGAGTTGATTTTTTGCTTCCGAAGTTTCGGAATTAAGGTTTTGAGTTCAATAGACATGGCAGACAGGGAGATGGCAACTATTGGACGGAGTAACATAGCACTCGATAGGGCTGAATAGAGGGTTCAGAATGTCCTCCCAAGCNATCAACTGTCGCCAAGGATACGTTTGAGAGTTGATTTTTTGCTTCCGAAGTTTCGGAATTAAGGTTTTGCGTTCAATAAGCATAAGCTACTGTTGAGCTCCGGAAGAAATGCATCCCTTGCCAGGGAGATGGCAACTATTGGACGAGGTAACATAGCACTCGATAGGGCTGAACAAATGGTTCAGAATGTCCTCCCAAGCCAGCTTTGGAATAGGAGTTGCACCTCCTTCTATGTCCTTAAGTTGCTGAGAAGCAGGCATACTTTGTAAAACTTTAAAGGCAGTTCGGGGTTCTGATTTCGTTAGGCGAACTTCGACGCTTTTGTCCTAGAAATGAACTCATGTCGTGAATTCCAAGTGCTTTGCAGAGCCCACGAGAGACAGATCGAGACCGACTTCACTTGTACTGCGAACCTTCGATTAGAAAGGGCAGATAGCCTGAATCCTCTCTTGCAGCATTCATTCTTGCCATGTGGCCATCTCCTTGTAGCAGTCAACATCCTTCGACTTACATTCGAAAAAAATTCCCGATCCCGACGATTATTAATTACTTCACTTTTTTCATTTTTAACCTTTCATTTCTCTAATGGATAACTTTCCATCGCAGCTCTTCGGTACTTACCATTAGATTTGGAGTCGCTATGGAAGTCCTGATACAGAGTTTAGGTAGCGAAGGAGATTGCTTGGTATGGCCCAAACTAGTTTATCGTAATCGATCCATCCAACTTTTTTTGCTTTTCCACATTTTTCTCGCAATTCGTTAAATCTACCCAGTTTTCAATTAACGAGGTAACCAAGGGTAAAACAAATCAGCGATTTCCATTAACGATGACCTACAATTACACCTGCCAAACAAGCACGTCATCGTCCGGCGAGCTCAATGAACGATCCCTGAACCCTAAGATTTGTTAATAGGATAAGCTTGCTAATTGCTACTTTGAAATGTTTTGCAACCGGAAGCAGTTAATGCAGAGGAATCCTTCAAATGAAGGCTTCCAACTGGAAATGAAGGGTCCTGACACGAAGATTTATACCAACAATTTCGACTCGTCCACGACGATTCCACATAGTGATCTATTCCGGAATAGGAAGAAAGGAATCGGGGCTATGCTGTGCCATAGCTCCCCATTACAATCCGAATATGCCAAAGACGGAACTGTCAGCTTCAGAAAATTTGGAGCTTGGGAAATCTTACATCTTCTGAACCTGAATATTTCGTTAATCTGAAAGCATTCGCATAGCTTTCTTAGACATCAGGTATAACGTCCTTCTGAAAAGAAAGGAGGGAAACCGCTTGAATGTGAAAAGCAGGTTCTCCATGAATTGCCGTAATGTGATTTCGGCCAAATGTTCCATGTTTTTAGGTTCTTGCTATACAGTGGCCCAAATTTTGGGACTTGATTTGAATGGGCCTTAATGTCGCAGTATCGCCACCCTGCGGGCTTGTTCCTGAACTCTCTCAGTGCATGGTATTTGTAACGGCTTTCACCTAGTTGTCCATTGTCCCTTCCAATGGTCAGACAGCAGTTAAAGACTGGAGTGAACGGGAGTGCGACAGGCGGGGGCAGAGAATAGCCGTGTCCGCCACAATTAAAGGGACCGAGTACAAGCAGTCCGTAGGTACTGCATCATCTTGAAAACCAAGAGTCCTGGCACGGTGAACCGCGCCGATATTGTCGCGCGTCAACAATGATGGGATGTGTCTGTCCTTTACTCGGGAAGCATGTACTGGGGTTGCGCTATGTAATAGACAGAAGCTAATTTTTTGTATTTTCGTCAGCACTGTCCCAGGGGGTAGGATAAACTAAAATGGCATTTTCCTTCCTTTTTGCTTGGGAGGAAATCGATGTAAAACAAAGCCCTTTTCCAAGGTGACGCGTTGTCTGAGAATAGTTACCGTCCAATGGTGGGCTCATTTCATCCCTCACATCAGTGTAACGAAAATCAACAAATGATTTAGAAATATCTGTGGCGGTTGATCTTCGGTATTCATCTATTTTTGTTTTAAATTCTGTAAATTTCGGATTCGAGTGAAATAGTTGCGTCCTGGCTCCATGAGTACCAGTCCACTAATGTTCTGAGAACAGCTTAAGTGTTGTATGGCTACCACGGTGCATGATTATCAAAGAGTCCTAATGACCACTTGGGGTGACCTCGTAATTTTCGGCCTACACCTTATTTGATTGAATACAACTTTTTGGCTCATGGAAGGACAGAATACTCGACTTTAAAGAGAAAATATCACTGTACATTTGGATCATGTCTACTTTCTCTTCTTGTTGTTACTTCCGTTGGGCCGCGTTAGTTCACCACGTTATGGTCCTCTAGCATGTGCATACTTTGGGATTAGGGAAAACCTTTTGCTCGCTTATGACCCTAGAATTCCTAGACTGAAGAGTTCTGGTGAAGAAACCCCAAGGAAGGTTGATTACTCGCACGTGACGAAAGTAGTCTAGCCCTTGGTTGAACTCTTTGAAAGGCCATCGGCATACTGGAAATCGCAAACTGCTGAAATCCAGTGCTGCCCTAAGATTATCCTCACTGTACGTGCACATGTAGATAACTCCTTAAGGGAATTCCGTGGTGAAAATGATTGGGTGCTTTGGCTGATGATGGTTGTTTTCGTCCTTCCTGGACTTCTTTCGAAGCACATTCAAGTGATCATTCGGACCAGCATAGAGGCCATTAAGAACATTCGTCGGAACTGAACTCTAGAAGTCTGTAATTAGTGCTCAGAACTGTTGAGAACTCATCATCAAGGCTGGGAAAGAGGCAGCGCAGACAAGAAAAGACTGGAATTTTGATTTCTACCTCCTAATATTGAAGTATCGTCTGGGTGAATTGTTGAATGTCTCAGAAACAGGTGATTTTTATTCGAAAAGAGCAGTAGAAGGGAAGACTTCTGTTCTTGTAGTCAGCTTTTTCTTCTTGGCCTAATACAGCAAGGTCCGGTGTACCTACTGGTCATCGCCACTTACTGTTGTTCAAGATATTGGGTTGGTCCCTTGGTCTGCTTGGTTCGACTGCTAGAAGAGACCACTTGGCGAGGTTT